AATTGAACATTAAGCTTTTTTAAAAGAAAAGCGCAATTTAAAATTAGTATTCATCAAACCAAATGATAATTTTTTAAAAAGTTCATTGATGTTGTGATTTATTTAAATATTGATTTTATCAAACATACTTAATGATAGTGATAAAACAGGTGCCACCTGATAAAAAAGTACATTATTAGTCTGGTGAAATTTATTCATATTTTTAAAATAATTAAAGAAGAAGTTCTGAAAATATTTTGTAGCGGTAATTTATAGTTAAATACATGTTTTTATTGGAATAAACAAAAATTAATTGTAATAAGACTAAAATTTTAAATTTGTGTTAACTAACTAATTTTTAAAAAATTTATGAATTAAGAAAATATTAGTGTTAAACATAAATGTTTATAAATTGGCAGTGAAATGAAAAGTTTTAAAAACTGTAAAAGCTATGTCGCGTTACAATTATTAATTGTAGTTTAATACCATATGAAAAAATATTTAAAATTTCAGAAGTCCACTTATTCGAAGAGTCTAAAATTTGGTATTGGTTTTCATACTTGTAAATTATTAATTGTAATAATTATTTGTGGTATTAAACTATTTCGGGCACGTTATAATATACAAACTATGATGTCTATGATAAGTTTTGAGCCATACGGTAAGTAAAGATTTAGATAGATGTAACGTAATTGTAACGTAACGGTATTATTACTCTATAATAGTCATAACGCCTAGTTTATTTGCGTAGATGACCGCCTAACCGTAGATGACAAGATAATGTTTTGAGAAGACCAACCGTTGTCATATCGTTATAAAAAATAAGGATATCGGAGTTGTAGGTACATTTAAATATAAATTTGTATAATATTAAATTAAATTCCATCTTGTCGTTGCTGTTGCAGATGCCATTTTAATGATTTGAAGAGTTTTCTGTTTAACTCTGATAAGTTATTAGACCCACGACTTGTTTTATTTTTTACTAGGCGCTGCTACTAGGTACATAACTAAATTTAAGTTTTGAGAGGCACATGACAGTATGGTGTAAGGCCCGGCGCAAATTGAGCACAGCCCACGCGCAGGGCACGTGGCCAAAACCCAAACCACGGCCAGGCTACTGCCAGACTTGGTTGGCGTGGATAGAGTTGTGCTAGCAACACAGTTTCGTGGGTCGTGGGTCTCTACCTAACCTTAGTTATTTTATTTTGTGTGACCAATGTTTTGTTATTCAGTGAAAATTGAAAAGTTTATTAAAATTGTTCGAAGCTTTAGTGTCTTGTATGATACTAGTAATGAAGATTACATGAGAACAAAACTAATATTTTCTTTATTTGTGCTAAGCGACTCGGATGTAAGTCGCCGTTATAATTATTCAAAAAAAATTAATTTAAATTATTTTTTTATTAAATCAAATGAGAAATATAACAAATCGAGAACTAAGGAAAAAAACAAATTTTCATTTCCTAGCAAAATGTTTATGAACACCTAAGATGAAAACTTCAAAATAAAATTTGATGGTACTTTTTCGTCATGCTCATATTGTAATGGCTTTTATACACTGAAATTAAATTAAAAAAGAACATAAAGAAAGTAGAAAAATAATAAAAAATTCTCAAATTTAAATTTAGCTCGAAAACAAAATACGATCTAGAATTTTTGTATTTTTTTAGCTCTTCTGTTGTTTATTACGTTATTTCACTTATTTCAACAATACCTGTAAACTCTGCCTGGTATGCTAATTAGTAATTAGAAAATCAATATCGACAAAACCAGCTTTTTCAAATTATGGGTATCTACCTGTTATAGTCTTTTGTTAAAGGATTTCAATTTTTTACCCTTAACATTTGTGAAAGTTTTCAAGATATTTATATTTTCAGATTAGAAATTGTTAGTGAGATATTAGGTAAAAATTAAAAGGTCTTTAGAAAATAAAATCTTTATTTAAACTAATATACTGAAGACAGTCTATCTTTTCGTTGAATGGTATTTGCGAAAACAATCTCCTATGCATAGTCCAGCTTTTTCGTCACAATCAGCACACTCGTAAATTGTGTTTTCCTAATTTTATGGATAGAACATATTCTACATAAATATTTGACATGGGTGTGGGCTGTGTTCAATATGCGTTAGTATTGAAAAACGTGTACTTGGACTAGGTTGGACCATACGTGGGCTGCGCGTGGGATGTGCGTGGGCTGTGCTCAATTTGCGCCGGGCCTAAGACCAAAACTATAGGCTTTTATCTATACAAACTACATTTGAGCTTTTATCTATACAAATTAAACCTTTAAAAGTTTATTTTTAGCTTAATTCCATAAAATTTTTTTAATATATAAATCTTAACTTTTGATGTTGATTTCCATTTTTTTTCTGTAAAGTTGCGAGTTCCAAGTGCATATTTCTTAAGATACCTATCTTTATCGAAAAATTGAGCCGATAAAGTAAAAAAACTACGTTGTATGTATTCATTTGTCCATAAATCCTTGGCAAAAGAAAGAGTTTTTAAGAAGAGATTGTAATTTACATTGAATATCGTCTCTAAACTGTCCTAGTAAAATCGTCCTTTTTAAAGTTCTTCTAGAGGCTAATATGTTTTTCATATAACAGTTACCAAAGTTTGCACCCAAGTTAAATAATGCTTACCAAATTTAATCAAACTCGTTACCTAAAAAGTAACCTAAGTTGAAAATAGGTAAATAAAAAATTTGCATATTTAATTTTGCAGATATTTTGCAATAAAATTGAATTTCGATTATTAATTAAATTAAACTTAAGTAAATTGCACATTTTTTCAAGAAAGGTTGACTATCTGTTTTACTTTTACAGAAACAAGATTGATACGAACATTTATATTCTATGAAAATTCTCAAGGTTTTAAAAACATATCGCAGTATTTTTGTACAGGAAATATACAGTGTAAAATCCTAAATGACTTTTTCAATATCTAATGATTTAAAATTCACTCATACTACGTTTTGCTATTTTTATGTTAAAAAATTTATATATCTTCCGAGAAAGATTTTTTTTAAGTTTTTTACAATTTGATCATTCTGTTTTTCTTTGACAACACAATACAGCACGACTTTTTAGCTGTGAATGTTATAAACCTCAAATATTTATAGTACTGCGACCCCAGTTGTTTAGCGAAATTATTTCGAGTAGTCTTTTGTGATGTTTTATATTAATTGTGTTAGAGGAATCATATACACGATAGAAAAACAAAGAAAAAGTTATAAAAATAAGGCATATAAATAGAATAAAATAATTTGAAATTTTGTAATTTGTGTAGGACGTAGATTAGTTTTAAAAAAATTTATAGTTTGTAGAGCATGTTTTTGAATAGAAACTTTTAATTTTATTATAGCACTTCGTTGTATTTATAGCTGCAGTTGATTCACACAATCGTAAAATTTTTGACACAGTTTTTAAATAATAAGCAGTTGATGTTGATTATTTTATTGAGTTCTATTTAGTGGCTCCATCTAGAGTAAGCGTGTAAACTTCAACCATCCCCCAGCTTGTTGTTAATAATAAAAAAAAGAAATTAATAAATGTTCGTTCAAAAGCTCTTGTGTTACCATACAAAATGGCCAACATTTATTCAATAGTAATTGTGGAAAAAATAAACTATCCCTAATAATTTGATAACTTTAAAAACAAATGAAAACACTCCACCTAAAATATTGTTTTTTTTTAATTTTACAACACTGCTAAAATTAGTTGATATATTTATTATTTGGTTAAAAATTGATCTAAAAATAGCTTTCATATTATACATGTTATCATAAATTGTCATAAAGAAGTCGATGACGTCATATTTTCAACATGTTACCACAAAATACATCACCTAACAAGAAGCGAAACGAAGGGCTTTTTCGCAATCCAAATTTCTGTGGGAATCCGCCACGTTTTAAATAGTTTATCTGTCAACCTATAAAAACTGAAGTTTGTTTACGTATTGGGAAGTGTTGTTTCGTTTGTGTTGGTTAATAGTAAAAACAAAATAATAGTGGTATACATATGTTTGTATATGCATATACATATTTTAATACCTTAAAAAAGTATAATTATATAAACAAAGTATAATATAATAGTAAACAAAGAATAATACTGTTAAACTTATTATGTATATACCTGTATCTACATATTTTAATACCTTAAAAAACCGATAAAAAGTAATGTAAATCGCCTGATTTTCATCTCTATTTTAAAATTAACTTTCAATTTCAATCGCTTGTTATCGGTTTTTTAACGTATTAAAATACTATTAGTACGTTAATTTATTTGTTAAAGAAAAACAAATCGATATTTTTGAGTTAAGACCTTTTTACTTATCCATACAGAATTAATATATTTGTTATATTAAATTTTACAGAAAAAAATACAATTCACACAAAACAGATCTACTTAAAGAACATTAGTTTTAATAATTACTTTGTTTTTCAGTGTAATTTTAACTTTACTACTGTTTTGAACGACTTCCTTGTTACTTTTCTTAGTGTACTAAGTAGTGCAACTGTCAGTCTCCCCCCAAAATTTTTGTTCTACGTACATCAAAGGTACCGTCAAAGCTTTTGCTTCTTGTTGGGTGGTGTATTCTGTCCCTAACTAAAAAATTAACTACATCAGTATCTAGGAATCTGAAAAAATAAATTGACTTGTTAAATTATTTTCCATAACAGATAACACATTAAAATTGCGACATTTCCTTATTTTGAAATCGTTAGTAAAATATTAGACAAACATAGCTCATTTATTAATTCAATTTTTTTTGTTTAGAATCTAGAAGGGAGAAAGATTTCAGAGCATACCCTATATTATTTGTCTTATATATTTTTACTACACATTTAGTATATTTATAGTAATATTGTACAATAGTTTTACTAAGACCAAAATTATTCAATTTCTACTGCACTACAATACTCGTGAAAATCACATTACTTAAAAAAAAAATTGAAGTAGCGTGACAAGCTATAAATTCGTTACTATTAAAAAAATTCATTCATTGTGTTTCAACTATTATCAACTCCAAGTAAAAATGTTTAAAGTGTACAAAATGAGTAAAAGTTTAATAAACGTAATATTGCTAAGTATAGCATTTTTACTGCTATATATAGGCATTCAAACAATGAGCAATATCCAAAAAATTGTCATCGATAGTATAAAGAAAGAAAAACCATCGTATAAAGAAAATGGGTATTACAGCCAAGCTGTAAACAACGCATTTTATGCTGTATCCACGTGGGCAGTGCCATCAATCATTAATGTTTTTGGAGTCAAAGTGTCTATGTGCTTAGGCGCTCTTTTTAATGTTTTGTTTATACTACAATTTTTGTTAGAAGAAGTTTGGATCTTATATCTGTTCTGTGGTTTAGCAGGTATCGGGTCAGCTTTATTTGGGGCAGCGCAAGGTGACTATTTAGCTCTCAATTCCACAGAAAAGACGATGAATAGAAATACTGCTATATTTACAATAATTTCAAGCTTTAACATGATAATTGGCAATATAATTGTTATGTGCGGGTTTATTGGTAAAACTGAAATAAATAAGAGCACACGTATATTAGTTTTAACAATCTTCGCAGGAGTATGTACAGTGGGGTCATTCGTATTCGTTTTATTACCAGTAAATAAAAAAGAAGAAAAAAGTGAAGAAAAATTCAGTAAAGTTGGAGCAACGGAATCATTTATAAAAGCAGTAAAATTGTTTCTTACTAGAAATATGTTACTATTAAGTGTAAGTTTTTTATATGGAGGCGTAAACGCTGGATTTCTTAATGGAATTTATTCCTCAGCAATAGGTTTTACACAAAAACTTCCCAATTCTAAGCAATTGGTTGGCCTATCTGGAATATTTACAGGTATCGGTGAAATATTTGCAGGCATTATAATAACAATTTTTGGCGAAAAAATAGTTTCTTTGGGTAGAAAAGTCTTAATAGTAACTGGTTGTTCTGTGCACGGTTTAAGTTTTATTTTAATTTTTATTAATCTTCCAGATAATTCCCCAAAAGCCGATACGAATGATGCAGCAATTATCGAAAGTAATACGTATCTTGCCATGTTTTGTGCGTTTCTTTTAGGTCTTGGTGACTGTATAAATGTAAACGTTATATTTAGCTTATTGGGCACTGTGTATTCCGAAAGTGCTGCCGAAGCTTTTTCCATTTTACAATTTTTTGTGGGTATTGGATCGGTTATTAATTTTATGACTGCTGAAACAGTAGGACTTTATTATCAACTTGCAGCTTTAATTTTATTAGCGATATTAAATGCCGCATCCGTTATAAAAGTAGACACTTATTGCAACCAAAATATATTAATAAAAAATAAAACTAAGACAGAAATTTCTCATTAGTTTTAAACTCAAATCTCACTAGTAACTAAGTGTTTGTATGTGTAAGTTTGTATAACTAAGTTAGTATTTTATATGCAAGGTAATATTTACTGTAAAAATATCGTAGATAATATAGTTTTTTTAATGTTTTTATATGTAATGTAATATCTGTACATATATTCTGTTATATAGTGTTGTTGTTTTACTTAATGCAGAGTCTTAACACAGTGAAATTTATATATTTTTTTTATTTTTTTTTATTAAGTTAATGCCTCGACAACTAATGATCATTGGCATGGTACAGTCAGGTACCTAGTGTGTGTGTGTGTGTGTGTGTGTGTGTGTGTGTGTGTGTGTGTGTGTGTGTGTAGAGTAATTGTCTTGATACTTAGCAAAGTCGACGTCATTGTCTTTGCTAAGAGGCGCTAATTATATATCCGAATAACAATATATATATATATATATATATTATATATATATATATATATATATATATATATATATATATATATATATATATATATAAATAATAATATCCGAACGTCTGCAGTCCCTCCGGTGAGTACCGATCGCACAAGGATAGAAATTATTTTCATTCATTAATTTTTAATAAACGAAAATTTTTCCACCCAGGTGAGATCCGAACTCACGACCTTTAGGTTTAAAGGTAGGCGCTCTTACCACTGAGCCACAGAGTGGTTTTTTCATTTAACTTAACGTGCATGTGACATCTATGGTCATTAGCACGAGTTAGGATTTACATGGTCTCTCTCTTCAATCCTGACCCCCAGGGGGAGTGTATTGTCCGTCTCCAGAGATCTCTGTCTCTGGTCATTTCTTTTAATTCATGCATAGGTCTTTGGCATATTCCTGTAATTTGATCTATCCATCTTGTTGGGGATCTTCCTCGTGATCTTCGGCCTTCTACCTTTCCTTGTATTATGAGTATTTCCATGTTTTCTGTGTTTGCTTTTAGCTCTCTTAAAATTGAATTATTTGTTCTACGGTCGGTCCAAGGAATTCGTAACATTCGTCTCCAACAGAACATGTCAGTGGCGTCTATCTTTCTTCTCTCCGATTGTCTCAGAGTCCAAGATTCACATCCGTAGGTCAGTATTGGGAATATTAAGCAGTTGGTCAACCTCATCTTTATCGCTCTTGAAATTTGACAGTCCTTCCATATTTTGGTCATTTTTGGTGTGGCAACTTTTGCTAAATCACATCTACGTTTAATCTCTTCTTGTAATGACCCTGTGTTTGTGATTAATGATCCCAGATATAAGTATGAGCTCACAACCTCGAACCGGTCAATTGTGATTATGTGTGTATGATTGTTGTGTAGTCTATCCACTATCATGATCATTGTCTTTGATATGTTTAATTGCAGACCAAATATTTGACTTTCGTTTTCGATCAGTCGTATAAGTTCCATCAGCTTTGCTTGACTATTTTCAAGAAGGGCTGTGTCATGTGCGAAACGTAGGTTGTTTAGTTTATGACCATTTATTGAGATGCCCTTTTCCCATCCTTCAAGTGCTCTTCGCATAATATACTCCCCATATATGTTGAATAATTGTGGATATAGTATACATCCTTGTCTGACACCCCGTTCTGGATGAAACTCGTTCGAAAGTGTGTCAAGTACCTTAACTGATCCAGTAGTGTGCTCATATAGTTCAGTTATAAGCGTAATTAGATGTTGTGGTACGCCTACTTCTTTTAGTATTCGCCATAAGTGTCTCCACTTGACCCTGTCGAACGCTTTACGGTAATCTATAAAACAGACGTATAGTGGGATGTTGACTTCCCTAGATTTCTCGATTATCTGTCTTATATTCAGCAGGTGTTCTCGAGTGCCTCTACCTTTGGTAAATCCAGTTTGCTCTTGTGGAATTTCTCTTTAAAGGAATGTTTTCAGTCTCTCATTGATTATATGTAGCATTATCTTGCTGGCATGGGATATAAGAGAGATAGTTCTATAATTGTCGCATTTATGGAAGCAGCCTTTTTTTATGTATGGTCGTTATTGTAGATTTTGTCCAGTCTTCAGGCCATTGTTTGGAATGCCATATTTGATTACAGAGTAGATAAAGTAACTTTACGCCGGTTTCTTCTGTGGCTTTAAGCATTTCTGCTATTATCATATCTGGACCTGGTGCTTTGTTATATTTGAGCTTGTTGATAGCCTGTCTTACTTCATTTTCGAGTATATCAGGTTCTTCTTCCACCTCGCCAGAGATTTGGCTAACAAGCTCTTGGCGTTGATCATCTTTATATAGGTCCATGCAATACGATCTCCATGTCTCTGCTATGTCTTCTCTGTTTGTTCTCAGGGTTCCAGTGTTATCTTCAATGGCTCAAGATCTGGCTCTGAAGTCTCTTGTCAGGTAGCGTATTTTTCTAAATAGATCTCTCGGCTGATTATTCTGATCATGTCTCTCAATTTCTTTGCATATACTTTGATAGTACTGTTTTTTTGTCGTCCTTACATCTTCGTTTTATTTCTTTATTGAGGTTTCTTAAACTAGCTTTTTCCCTTTCACTATGTACACCACTTTTACAAAGATTTCTTCTATTCTCAATTATTTTAAGTATTTCATCTGTTATTCAGTGTTTCCGTTTCAGTGATTTACATGGTAATATCATATAAATTACAAAATAATACAGAGAAAATGATAAAAACTTGTAATATAACATTTATATTTCGTTGAGCAGTTGACTTTTCTGGAGGAATTTGGTCACCTTGTTGATTTGGTCTGTGCTGTTTAGGACCTCTTTAAAGGTAGTGCTGATATCGAGAGGTTTTCGTATTTTGGCATAAAAAGGTATATGCTGTATATGCCTGATTCAGAGAGTCCTATTGCAGTGCAGACATTTTGGTTTTGGAGATGATGTCATCAGGTAGCCATGAGTTAGACGGATATGTCCTATATGCAATCTTCGTATGATTGTCATACTTTTTCGAGATAAACTGGGATAGGTAAGAAGGTTTGCTGAAAGTTTAATTTCATGCAGCGCTAAAGTAACGTTATTCCAGTGAATCTGCCAGGTGGATAGATTAATCTTCTTTAGTCTAGCTTTGAGGTCGTTGCAAATCTGTACATTCATAATGGTGTCCGTGGATGATGTGGCTTTTTTGGCAAGGCAATCGTCTTTTTTGTTACCACTAATACCAACATAGGATGGTACCCATGTCAGAGTAATAGTTATATTTTGGTTTATAAGAAGGTGATATGTGTCATGAATATATCTTGGACGATAGGATGTTTGGTGGATATAGCATTAATGGAGTGTATAGAGGAAAATGAACCAGAGCATATGGCTATGTGTGTATTTGGATATTGTTGGGCATATTTGAAAGTATGTAAAATATCTAGTAGTTCACTAATGTGGATACTAGATCAAGGAGAGATTTTAGAGAGTTCGATAGGCTGTTGTACAGGGGTTACAGAATAGTCAACACCAGTTTAATTTTTGACGCGTCAGTGTAAAGAACTATGTTATATTTATTTTTGTTTATAAGTTCTAGAAAAAGAATTCTTAATGTAGTAATACTGGTATCTTCCTTGTTAAACTTGGTGAGTGAAATATTATGATGTAGGAGTATGTTGGTCCAATAGGGATTATTGGAGAATGGTAGAGTTCTGGTTTCAGACAAAATATGTTTTAGTAACGGTTGTAGAAGACTAGGAATAGGATGCATAATTAAGTTACATGGAGGGTTGTTATATGGATGATGTGATGATGTAAATAAATGATATATGGGATTGGGCGGATTAGCAGAAACTGCAGCAGCATAGGAGAGAAGAAGGTTTTCTAGCCTAAGCCATAGATGAGATTGATTAGCTTCACAGTACAGACTTTCTGCCGGACTAGAACGGAATGCTACAAGACATAGACTAATAGATGTGTTGTGAACTGTATTCAGCGAATTTAATATTGATTTAGTACCAGACATCTAGACGAAACATCCGTAGTCGAGCTTGGAGCGGATAAGTGATCTGTAAACTTTCAGTAACGTAGTTTCTTCCGCGCCCCAATGATAATGTAAGAGTGTTTTGAGTATGTTTAACCTTTTTAGGCAAACTCCTTTAAGTTTCTGTATGTATTGTTTCCAAGTCAATCTGAAATTTATATTTTTTGTGTATGTACTTGTGTAACTTTCACAAAGAAAATGAAATTTTTGTAGTTGCCTGTATACCATGAATAATAAAAATTTAATTTAAAAGCTTTATAAACCGTGTATAACTAAAATGACCCTTTCGGGCTAAATCACAGTAAGTTTTTGGTCTAAAAGTTCCATTGGTGTATTATTACCAGGTGTATATGAGTCAAGTCACTAAATACCGAGCAAAAGCCCTTAAAAAGTTACAAAATTTGTTTTGTCTCATAATATTGTTAAAAATATATGTTAAAGTATTTAACAAAAAAACTATGAATGGCAACGTAAAATTCCCAGTAGGGGTTGTTGCTGACACTTAGACCGTGTCTGAATGGGTTCTAGACGGCAATTGCGCCCATCTATTCAGTTGCCATCGTTATGTACGGAATAAATGATGACGAAAAACGGCTAGGAAACACTTATTTTAGGATAAGGCATCAGACATAACATAGGGATAGACAATTTAAAACGCAACACTATAGTATGAGGGGATCTAAATAGTCGGATAAGTGTAAGAAATTAACATACCTCAGATGTATAAGGACCATATGGAGAAAAAATAAAAAATGGACTATGTGTTAGTAAATAGACCATTAAGGCAATATACTAAAAGCGTAGCGTAAAGGGATGAGATCAGATAAATAGTGACCACTATCTAGTTGTAGCTAGGACCAGCTTAGGAGTGCGATGAGAACCAATAACGAAAAATACAAACAAAGAAAAGGAGTCTTATAATACCCCTTTATAGAAATAATTAAGTCATATAAGCTAGCAGACAAAAAGATAGCAAAGAAGTCTGAAAACAACGTTGATAACTACTTAACACGTTGAACTGGACTGTGACTGATATTAAGCTTGGTAATAACTAGACTTCGGCAAATATGCAAATAAAAATGTAGAAAATATGCGCATAAATATGCACGTGTTTACC